CAGCATCTTGGGCAATCTTAAAAATTAACAGTCTGTGCACTGTGATCTTTTTATGTACTGCCACAAACCGGTGTATGAAGTGCGCTGACATGACGGAGGCGCACTACCCGCCTTGGCTGGGTATTAATTTTCCGGACTGTCAAATAAAGAGACTCCCAGGTGCGAGAACAAGGTGCTAAGAAAACTCCTTTTGGCAGGAAGGGATCAAGGAAATCCTGAGCGAGGAGCGATTGCCATGCCAGCCAGCGCCTCGCTCTGCCCTGCCGCACACCCGCGCTGCTCTCCTGACCTCCCCAGTACAGTGCAGCTGCAACGTGCATCCTAATCGTCCTCTACAACCTGTAAGACGGAGCAGATCAGACATTTACATCTGTCCCATCCTCCCAGCTGTCTTCACAGAAAATCCGTGTGCCCAGACACATATACATGCCGGGAGCCTACGCTCGCTTCTCCGTCTAGGGAGCAGGAGTCGGAGCCTAAAACAGCAGAACCTGGGTTATGGCAAGAGGCTGATGCCACAGTGGTTTCCAGTCTTCCAAGCGCCTATTTCCTGATCATTCCTTCTTTTCCCAATGCCTACTTTTCCTGATGCGTGGGAGCCTCACGAAGGCATACCCAATAAGGGTTAAATCCTTTGTTTTGCACGGCCTGGTTCATTTCTGCCATGCACGGCCCCTCTGCTAAACACTACCAGAGAGGAAGGCAGAGAGGTTCACGGGAGGCTGCTGTGGCAGGGGTACAACACGAATGCGATTTTCAAAGAGCTCAATCTCTATGCTCTTGGGTAAGCCTGGAAAACTATGGTTCAAGCAAGAAAGCTGCCCAGATGTTCTTGAACTTTAAAAAAACAGAGCAAAAGGCAGCAGGATAACAGGAGACATCACCCTCTACTATAAATTGCTGCAGAGGATTTCTTCCCCCACTCTGTCAGACTTCCAGGACCGACTTCTGAACAAGAAGGCTGCAGTGCAGACCAGGGGCAGACCAGGACACTCCGTGCAGGGGGCGCTTTGATTCAGGTGGGTAAGGGACTCGGCCTGTCTCCTCCTTCCTAGGTCCCGATGCGCGACTCAAAGCTGACTGTATGCTGTGGGAAGGAATGCTGAGCCTGCAAACAGTGATTCATTCTTACTGAGGCTGAAGCAATTCCCGAAGGAGAAACAAAGCCGGAATCCTGAGCTGCCACATACAGAATCTCTCCTCTCCTGTCTGTCACACCTGGCACGCCTCAGAGCTTTGTCGAAAAAACCATCGAAACCCTACCCGAAACAGTGGTTCATTGTGAACCCCGCTGGTTGCAGAAAGACTCCCTCAACACTCCTGTCTTTTTGCATCCCCCTTCCAGTGTGCTGTCTACGAGGAGCTGGAGAAACAGTGCTGCTATTCAGCCCACACCTCCTCTCTGCCCTGATGGGTGATGTTTCAGAAACACTCAGCAGAAACTCCAGGCTGCTGGTGACCTCTCTGGGCAAGACAACTTTCCAACGTACCTGACAGAGCTATAGAAGGAAGGAAGTTGAGGAGGTTCCCAGATTAGTTTTCCAGGGTTCTCCGTTCCTTGATATGCTCCTATGCACCAGTCAACCCCCTCTGCCCCCAAAAAACCCCAACCCTCCCTTGCAACTCCTTCACAAGGCTAAACCCCCTCCTTACTCAAGGCAGAAAGCTCCAGTAGGGTAATAGCCTCCAAGGGCTCCCATGGCCCAATACAACATTAAAACCGTGCTGCTAATAGGCTCCGATCCCCCCAAATAGTCCATATTTACTACTCTGTGTCCCCCCAACATTTCAACTTCAAATTGTAAATCTTTGTTTAAATCGTGCGTTTGCCTTACCGCGTTACCATGGCCAAACACCTCATTATTGGTGGCTTCTGAACAGGAGGAAATAAAAGCTTACACATGTGCCTTGGCCAAGACGAATGCTCTGCGGACAGAAGGCTCTGTGTTCTCTCGTTTCCTTGGCAGGACTAACAACCTTGGCCACTTTAGGGGAGGTTACTGTATTAGCAGGGGGGAAGAAAAAAAAAAAAAAAAAGAATAAAAAGGGAAAACAACCAGCACCAAGAAAAAAGGCTCAGGAACGGTCTGGTGTATTTGCAGCGAGCCAGAGCATGGGTTAGAACAGAACCTGGAAAAGGGAAAAGGATCAGGATATGTTGAAGTAGAAAGCTGAGAGGAAGGGAAGGGCGACCGATACGCTGAACGGCAGCTTCTGAGGCAGCACGAGCAACCGCAGCAGCAGAGCTGTCGAGCCGTTTGGCTCCTGGTAGCCCCCAAGCTGAAACTCCCAATGCCGTATCACCGTCAGGCCCCCAGAGCCCCTTCTGCGCCCCCACCTCCCTTAGCCCACTGCGGGGACACGGTCAGGCGGATGAGTATGAAATACAACGGGAAGATGGAGTTGAAGGCTTTCCTGCACAGAATTTCGGCGTGTCTGCAGCGAGCCCCACGCAGCCTGCGCACACCTAAGTACTGCTCAGGCATCGATCCTCGGCCCGGCACGTGCCTGGCAAAAGTCAGACCTGCTGTGGATTCATTATAGACTTGATCTACTCGCGGGCAGTCGATCTGGTGACCCAGATGAGGCGTGACGCCTCTGCTAGGTGCGCTAGACTAAGGAACTGCAGAGATGCAGTAGATGTTTCTGGATATCCCATAGTCCAAACCTCATTGCTGCTTTGGCCAAGCTGGCTGGCATCTAAAACTCCTGGATGGAGAAGGCAGAGCCAAAAGAGCTGGCAAGGACTCTCTGTTAGCAGGTGGAAACTCAAAACTTTGTTTGGCAGTGCCGGCTTTTGTGTTACGCTGTTGTCTCAGTTTGGGGCAGGCTGCAGGAAAGAAGAAAGTGAAGTCCTGTTTATTGCTGATGGAGCATCACTTGAAGCATTCTAATAAATTATTTCATTTCTTTAGGAAATGTTAAGCTCCTTGTGCCTGGAGGCACCTTAAGCTTTACGCTCTCGCTTCAAGTATAGAGGATGCTCCAGGAGCGAGCAGACGTTACAGAGCAGAGCTGATGAAAATGGTTGGTTTCAATGCAGACAGGGCAGCAGCGGAATGTGGCCGCATAGGTCTTGCCATCCTAATTGCTGCTTGGCCAGTCTTCCAGTCTTCAAAAATAAATCCAGCCTTAGAGAAATACGCAAAGGTAAATTCATCTTCCCAGCAAAAGCGTTCTCTAAAATGAATGTTCATGAAAATGCTCGCTTCCTTTGAACCTAAACATCCTTAAACTGTTTTCCTGAAGCACTGAAAGCTTGGCAAGTTCTATGAGTTTGCTTGCAATTCACCTCCGCATCAGCCTGTAGAATCACTCAAGTTGAGCTCTCACCTCTTTTAAGCCCCATCTAATTACGCAACTCAGCTACAGCGAGTACAACAGTTTTGCTGAATACGCAACGGTCTCGTCGTCGTATTTTCATCTGGGGAGACAGAAGGAAAAGGCTATTTTGTTTAAAGTCCAAGCGTTTCTATGGGGCCTCACTGATGTGGAAAAGACAGAGCTCTCTCCCCTATATTTGAAGCCTAATGCCTTTTTCTCGTGTGCCCTGGATGTGCCCGCATCTACCTGAACAGAAAGGCATAAATCTTGGGAGTTTTTCCTACCCATTTTTCTTCAGGACTGTAGTTGATTAACTACAAGAAAGGCCGTTTCGCTAATGTGCATTAACCAATGTCTCTCCTATTACCCCTGCCGTCTCCAGTCAAAGAATCATTTATGGAAAACAAGGGCAGAGGGAACAACATGCTTTGGCAGCCTTAAGATTATACGCCCAAAGCTTTATACCCTCTGTCTTATAGCTTTACGTTAAAGTATCAGGAGATATTGCCATATTTTTCATTATTATTTGTGGCACTAAATACTGCAGCACACAGTGCCAGATGGCTAATATTCGGAATAAAAATACTGCAAGGCCAATCTTAGAAAGGCTCAATGCGAATGTAACAGCATGTATGCATCCTACTTTCCTAATGCACATCGTTAAAATATTAGCAGACTTAAAATCTGGTTTTCCAATTTAGAAGAACAGCGTATTATAGAATGATATGCATGCATATATACATATATTTAAATATGTATGTATAAACATTTTAAATTCTTTCCATTTTATTTGCATGTTTTGAAGGTCACAACATAATACATGGGGACATCTTCTTTCACTCTTCAGAAGGTTACCTGGAGCAGTGAAGACAACCAAATAGTTCTGAAACGCATTAGGAGCAGAAGCAAAAACCTTTTTCCAGAAACTGTTATTGGTACAAAATACTTTTTTTTTTTTTTTTTTTAATATATAAACAGCTTGAGTCCTAAACTTAACCAGATGGAAACGTGCCTACAAAGAGTTGGACCTAATTCAGAAGAGACTGACAGCCAACAGATGAGCCAATTTAGACCATCCCATGCCAAAAATGGTCAATCATGTTATCTTATGTGTGACTCGACTCTGGCAGATGCCAACTCCATCCAAACAACTTCAAGCATCTTTTTGGAAGACAGGATTATTTTACACACACTTTTAAAAAGTCATAATAATGCTTGATTTTTCTGGAAACATTCCACTTAGTTTCAGCATTTTCACAAGAGATTTTTATTAACTTATTTTAAGGAGAAATCTTTTTTTTTATAGCCTCCTAACAGAATAAATGCTTTCCAATCCAACAAAGACTGATTAAAAAAATACTAAATTGCAGTTCAGTGACAGCCCCTGATTTATTTAAATATTAATAAAAGGAAAGCTTTACACCTGTGCAAACCAATTTAGCTTCCTTCTCAAGGCAACACGTTTGCTTTCAAAACCACAAAGAAACACGACGGTAAGTACAGATGAAATGTGCTTCCTGCATCCCTCATCATCTTCCCCAAAATTAAGACTAAAGTTAAAGGACTTCTTTTTATGGTGAGTGATTACAACCAAGGCTTTTTTTTTGTTGTTTTTAATTTGTAATTCATAATCTCAGTGAATTTTTTTTTTTTTTTTTTTTTTTTGCCTTCCAGAAGACACCACGACAAGATATGCTGTTAATTTGTCTCCGACTGCCACAGGAAAGGACCTCCTCCTCCTCCATCTCCTCTGCGACATATACACTCTCCCTCGAGGGAATACACCGCTGGTATGCTGACTTTTTTTCCTTCTTGCCCCTAATTGGAATAAGAATAGTCAAAAAGGGGAAAAACACTTATTCAGGTATTAGTCCATCGTAACAGCATAGGACCATTTAATTTATTCTTCAGTGCATCGCATAAGACGTATTTAAGCCCCGTATCTGCTGTCCGCTTGGTCTCTGTTTAAACTCAGTCTGGATTTTAACTTCAAACTGAAGCCCTAGGAGGTCTCAGGTGAAGAGATTTCTCTATCTGTTCGATGAAAGCTGCAGAAATGAGTGTAAACACTTAGCAGATCATCATCTTTCAGAAGACACCTTGAAAGGCCACATTTAAAAAGATTAATGTCTTCAAATCTGTTGTTTCCAGAGAGAATAATGCAAGCTTTTCTTCCAAAGGAGAGGGCAGCGGTTCTGCTAGATAGCCTGTAGTTTGGGTGTCTTCTTGACAATCGCACACAAAGTTGCAATTTCATTTTCCATTTGTATAGTAGGTAATTGCACTGCCCGTGTCAAGAAACCTTACCTCATATGGCATAAGGGAGCTAGGCAATTATCTATAGGATTTACGGCAAGGTCTCAATTTCCAACCTTTTTATAGTGTCTTTTGTGATGACAGTCCCAAGATTTTGAGATCCACAGACATTAATCTCGGCTGAAGTCTAGACATTTGGAAAGTTTTAGAGATCTTCCTTATAGCACAAATAAATATTCTCAGTTGTGTGATCATTTTCTTACATTGTTCCTGCTTCCCTTCAAAAAGACGGTGTCAAGATGCGTATGACCGGAGAGCCTGACCGCAGATGCGGACTTTGCACTTGGAGGCAACTCTCACAGAAAGGTTCAGTCACATCGAAAAGATTCACGTACGCACTTCCCGGTCACACAACACGCAGTTTCCCACTGATGAAAACACTAAGGCTTAGGTAACCACACTCTGCTCACATCAAACTTTTCCCTAACTAGTCCTAGCTAGTTGGTCGATGGATTGTTCTTGCACATTGGCAGCACGTTGGGCTCCGCTCTGGAACCATTCTAAGATCTTTCAGCTAATCCTTACAGAGGATTTTTGACACTTTCAGAAACAGACCACCACACCAGACGGTGCAATGTGATCCACCAAGAGCGCTTTCCAGTCTGCATGCTTCGAGGCGACTCACCGGCAGGATCAGAGATGCTCTCTCCCAACCCGACCCAAGGCTGGTGAGAAGCTATGGAGCCCTTGGAAAGAACCACAAACTGCTGGAGAAGCTCTTGGAAAGAATGGAAAGATAGATTTTGTCATCTAGGTGGGTTTGGGGTTTTTAAATAATTAGTTCATTTCCTCTGCTTATGGCTAGCCAGTCAACGGGTGAAGAAAAATATTAGTCAGCCACAAGCAGGCTGATCACAGCTTTTCTTCAGGTCTAGGTAAACATCTGGCTGAACAGCAAGAGGCGCTTAGACAGCGCCAAGGGCTTCCCTTCACATATTTATTACCGTACTTGATAGCTGTTGCCCATCTCTGATCTGCAATTCAAAAACTCTGTTGGCAACAGTTAGGAGATTCAACAAGTACATTTTTTCTTCCTCTGGCCATGGTCTTTTTTTGCACCTATTTTAAAGAAGGGCGCTGGCTGGATTTAGTCGGCTACGTTGCCACTACCTGGTAAACCACTCTCACAGGTCTTAAAGCAGGTTTGGTGACGTGGACTTCAGGACGAGTGTGTACTAAAACAAGTAGATGTTGCCTACAAAATGTATCATTGAGGAGAGTTCATTCCAAATACTTCAGCCACAGGGCGTAACAAACCGATCTTAGCAAGGAATCTTTTCCCGTAGAAAAACACAGCTCTTCTACTCCATCGGTCACACTTAGGCACCCTGCATGTTCAAGGCCTCTACACTTGGATGACATATGTGCACTTGTGAGTTTACATCTCTTCTAACACTGCGCATTTCATCTGAAATTGTCGCTGAGTTGCTCTGAACCATAAAGCCATTAGTCTGCGTTTGCTTCCCATGTAGACAGCACTGGTCACGTCAAAGCACTCAACAGCAAGGACTTCATGAGCTCCCTCTCATCTACTCCTCCGTTCCCTGCGAAGTTCACAGGCTAACTGTTTTCACTTCATTATCTCCTGCAGTCAGAGAGAAATAATCTGTTGAGTAACTTCGTTTTAATCTGGCTCAAGCGTTAAGAAAGTGTCACGGTCATTTACATAGAAATTCACCTGAGTGACCACGTGGGTCCTCGAGGAAGACTTTTGGCTCCCGCTGTGGAACACAACCGCGCCATTTCCATGAAATACCGCCCGCATCTCGCTACAGTCAACAGGAATAAAACGAAGCGTGTTTAGCAGATGTCACAGTTTCCAGATTGTCACAGCCTTCCAACATTTTCTAGTTGATTGTTATTACAAGATTCCTTTAAGTCACCAGCAAGCAATGCAGCCCCTTACTCCGCTCATCACGTTCCGACTGATGACGTGAGCTGTCAGACTGTAAACTCACAAGTTGTCAAATAGCTATAATTTGCAGATTTAGTAAAAGAGCTTAACATTCCTTTGAGCAAAGTACTTAAGAGATGTATTCGGTGGAATTTAAGCTCTGTGAAAGTCTGTACTGTTTTCTAGTTAGAACAGGATCTCCACAGCACAGCTCAAATGTCAGTAAAGCAGCTTTGGTCTAAATCAAAGGCTGCCATTAGACAAGAGCTCATATTCCCACTCGATGCATTTCCACAGAGACTTTAATTTCCGAGTCTAAAACCAGCCATTTGTAGGATTTGCTTTTCTAGACACCCATTAGAATCACTTGGACATTTATTTGCTGGAACCTGACTACGTTCCAGTAGACTAAATAACAGCTAGAAAGTCTTGGGCCTTAAATGAAAAGAAAACCCACAAAATAACAAAACCCACAAAATAATCAACAGAAAACACTTTTTGTCAGCTTCTGGAGCTGATCATATGTTGAAAAGTAGTTTTCTGTATCTCCCTTTTGTTTTCACAAGTGTTATTTGCGTTTGACTTGCTGTCAATTACTCCTAGGTAATCTTGTTGACATTGCAGTCCCCCTTCAGTTGTTTACCGTTCCTCCTTTTACTCACCATGGTCTCTATGTTTATATTTAGCATATATATATATATATACACACACACACACACACACATACATATATATATATGCATGCCCAGGGCTTGGTGGTGTGGCACGATGGCTTTATCTGCATGAATTAGGAGCTGAGAGTGTTACTCACTTGCGAATTACATACACGTCTCCTACGAGAGGATATAAAGTGTTTCAAACACACCACTCCAGTGGGCACTGCGCACAAGGCTCGCGTTGCGGGCTGTTGTGTGGATAAATACTTTCCAGGTCATGGCTGAGCGCCATTACATCGTGGAAGCATCCGGGTAAGTCTGACAGAATTACAGTAACTAATGTACAAACCTATGACAAAAATGCACGAAGAAAGTCTTAGAAATCTTTAAGCAACTTACAGGCACTTTTTGGTAGGGAAATTCCAACCGCCCATTTTGCTGGGAGCGAAGCTCAGGCAACAGCAACCACTTTTAAAAAAACCCCATCCTAGTGTTCTGCGTGCTGCTAGCATGTACAGGAAACCTCTTTGTTTAGGGACAGCAACATCTTGCCCACACTGAGATTCAGGAGGTAAAATTTTACCTGTGGAGCTCCACGCTGGGGGAAGGAGAGGAGCTGCTCCACGCCGGGGGAAGGAAGGTTTCTGTGGTCAGCTGGAGACTTCTAACATCAAAAATTCCAGGGGACTGACAAGAAAATGTAAGGCTAATGGGGACTGAATTCAATTGCCTCCAGATAGTGCAGCGATACGGCACCCAAACGCCCATTTCGACAGACAGGCACGCTCTCTGCAGCAGCCCTAAGCAGAAATACAGGGTGCTGGTGAACACCAATTTTCAGCGGACACGACATTCAAAATCGTTCTTTCCACACTGCGAGACTTGTGTGCGTGTCCCCCTCTCTGCAAAGCCATCTCTGGCCATTTTGGAAGCACTGAAAATCAGATACCTGTGCAACCCGAATAATGCATAAGCCACAGCAGACAAAAGACAGCACAAGTCAGCTGCTGTTACCAGCCTCCTCCTATTTTGGGCTACTCGCCTGCCCAAACGGGGAAAAGCAGATGCCGGGGCAGAGCCCCCAAGCAGCGTTTCATAGAGCAAAGCTCTCCCCACAGGACAGCCACCACACGAGAGGGCACAGGCAGCGGAAGGGCTGTCACCGCGCAGCGCCCCGTCCCACCGAGGCCACCTGGTAAGGTCCTGGGAGAGGCAGTGCTCCTCCGCGGCACGCCGGGGGGAAAAGCCCAGCCCTAAGACAGGAGCTGCTGATGCTTCCTTGGGTTTATAGAGGGAAATATTTTAGGGAGAATTACTGGAGAATTACACAGCCCAGATGTGGGGAGAAGGGAGGAAGAAGAGGCAACAGAGCGAGGAGAAGCGATCAGTTTGCATGCAAAGCTGCAAGGAAAACTCCTGCAAGCAGCCGCTGTTATGCGAGGCCAAGATTAGCATTCAGAGTTTGCAGTTAAGGGATTGAATTTAGAAAATCTTCCTTCCCCCGCTAACCCAAGTTCACCTCTCTGAACTTCTCTCCCTCTGACATTTAAATACTGTAAAATATTGTAAAAGAAAAGGTCACTGCATTGTACGACTTACGGTCATTAATTTATTTTCACCCTAGAAACTTAGGAAACACTTTGCTCAGGCAAACGACATCTTCAGGAAGATCCATTACAGTCACTCTGTGGTCCACGCACATCGCACACCACTAAACATTAACTGATTCCCTCCACATCCTCAAAGATAAACTTCAGGTGTTCCACCAGGCAATTCCTCAGGTTGCTCATCTTTTAAAGTTCTTCCCGGTCTCCCCTTTAAACAATTCTCAGATATGTACAGGCACGGAAGTCTGGATTCAACCATTAAAAAGTCTAAAGTCTGCCAAAAATCCTTCTCTTGTTAATGCCACGGGTATTTGTGATGCCTACCGATGTGGGGGAGCTGGGAGAGACCTTCATCTGCTCCAGATGCCAGCTTCCCCGTGTCAGGGGCAGTACATCACTACTTCGCGTGCCAGCTGTTTTGCCTAACCTGGCAACATCTAATAAGCTGCTCCTTGGAGCTTCCTTCCAGCAGAGACTACGGGACTGTTGTACGACTTCACCTGGGCCGTATTTTTTTGGTGAGGTCTTACGATGCCAGGCCCAAACACGCAAACCCCATTACCAGCACTGTCCTTACACAGGCTTCGAAATAAACCAATGCCAAGCCTGCGCAAGGCCGAAGCAACAACTCCAGCCTAAAATGCTCTTCCCCCTTCCTCGTATCCCACCAAATATCCCAGATTACTCGAATCACGTAATAGTTATCAACAAGTGATGTCACTCGTTACCTTTTACAAATTCTGCAACCGCTAATTTTCCCAGAAAACAGTCCCTGGTTTTAACTGGGAATAAGCTCGATCTTTCATCTGCATTCTTCCCAAGCCAGGAAGTTTTTCAAATCACTGACGAAATAAAGATCTGTACGTCCCTGTGTGAAAATACTTGAACGCGTAGTCCCATTTTTCACAAGCTGCACAGCCCATTTCATAATTCATGCGTCAACTGCACTTGAAACCTTCATTCCCAATTACAGACTGACCTTCGCATTTCCCTTTTCTCTAACTAGCGTAAAATGGAAACTTTCCATCTTTTCAACCTCCGCTTTTCTAAATATTTGTTGGTGTACACACAAGGCCAGCAAAATCTTCAGATGACACTTGCAGAGCACTTCACGACGCATTCAAAGGACACCACGCGAGCTGATACATCGCGTTGCTTCCTCTCCGTAACGGAGGGGAAAAACTTCCCTCCTTTTCCCTCTCTCCTCTCCAGGATAAGGCTGATAGCTTTACAAGACATGTTTTAAGTCGGTGTGACATGAATGCTTGACAATTTTATAGAGGGCTATAAAGCATTGAAAAGTGGAAATGAAACGTGGGGGAGCTGAGATGTCTCATTAGTCTTGCAATTTTGGGGCTGCTATTTTAAATTCTGCCCTAAGACACTAGTAAAAACGCATTTTTTCCCTTTTTTTTTTTTTTAATTAATAAACCCACTGGGCAAATTAGTACAACCGGTACTTCTCATCTGAGAGACAACCTGCACCGAGGCACTAAGGCGACTACAGTCGCGACTACGTTAACGGTTGGACTCGATGACCTTAAAGGTCTTTTCCCACGTGAAGGATTCCGCGATTCCACAACTGCAGCCGTAGGGAACTTGCACAGCAGCCCTGTGAATTCACAGATTTAATCACGCGTGCAAACCATATCCCATCAGCCCCCCTTTCACAAGTGCCCAGTGACTCAGAAGAAAGTTAATCATGATTTACTCTCCCGGGCCGGGCCTTAAAGCCTATTTAGGAAGCCACCTTCCGCCTAGCACGCAGCTTGCCCATCTAACTGCAATCCTGTACATCAAGAGGATCCTAACGGGGCTGGCCAAGCGTCCGCCTAGGCGAGCACTTTGCAATAGACACCACACCCCTGGTTTTTAGGCTTTTTTCTTAAGCACCACAGGACAAGACACAGCAATACCTCCCCTCATACCTACAGCGAGGCTCCCAGGCGTTTGGTCGGTGCTTTACAGGGCCGGCGAGGCCTGGCTATGGAAACGTTTCTTACTTTAGGTGCCGCTGAGAGGCTCCAGCAGCGTCCTGGGGGGAGAGAAGAGGGAGCTGGGGACTGGGACAACCTTAGCCTGCAGACCTGCCCCTGTAGCACTGATCTCACACGGTTTCTGTTGGTGTTCCAGGCTGCACAAAGCTCGTGTCTTTTCCCCGAGTTGAGTCACAACATCTGCAGAAACCGACCAGAAGGAATTTAAAAGGTATTTTTCAGGGACTAGCCATTTAAGGATTTTCTTAAAAAGAAATCAGATTTATACACTAACATGAAGAAGTAGCCGAATTCTAGAACATCCATTTGACCAGACGCTCAGATATTTACAGTTTACCTCCCTCGCCATTTCATCAACTGTACATCACAGCACTGCCACATCACCAGGCTTTAAAAAAAAAAAAAGTAATTATTATTTTAGAAAAATACCCTGGCTCCTTCTAAGAAACATGACCAACTCTTCAGTGTGCAGTTAAGAAAGCATCCAGTTGCCATCAAATCTCCTGTCCCACGTGCGGCCGAAACTATGAATTCCCAGCAGACGCCAGGACTAAAGACAGGGAAGACTGTTCAGATGCTCAACTAACCAAAATAAACCTAATTGGAAATTTTTCACTGGGAAGCAGCAGATAATCGATCGAATACTAAATTGTCACTTCTGCAACCATTGTTTGAACACAGATGGGATGTTAAATGAGCGTGGTAACCTCAAAATGATTCCTAATTTATGTGAGGATTATAAAATGCTGGATTTGTAATTACTGTTTTCCTCGATGCACACATCCAACTCCAATTAGCGCTAATAGAAGTTATATGTATACACGAAAGAAAAAAAATCAAACAAACATACTCCCATTATAGCTCTTTCCCCTCAAAAATTAATGACTTTTCTTGTCAGTATTTACGGAGCGCTCCTGCATGGTATCATTACAAGATTTAAAGATTTGGCAAATGGACCTTTAGAAACAACAGCTGGAAGTTCCCTCCAGTCATACTTGAAAAAACCCAGCCCGCCCCAGGATCTCCCAGCGGTTGCCTCACTCCAGACGCGCAGCGCGCTTTGCGAGACCACGCAGAGCTCGGTGACCATCGCTTTGAGGCAGAGGGACAGCGGGACCGGTGGCTGTTGCAGCTCAGGTCAATACGGTGCAAGTGCAGTAGAAGAACTATCAAAATTACGTGAAAATAATAATAAAAAAACCCAACTCACAACAGTCCCTGCTTTCTTAAATTGATAATGAGAAACTGGAATCACCACTGCACAAAAAAGAAATGCAGTCAGCAATGAGACACAACGTCACGTCAAAGGGCTCAAGCAAATTCTTAACACACATTCACAAGTTAGGAGTTTGCATTTATAAACAGACAGAATTTTTAAGTCAGAAACAGTCAAGCTTTTAACAAGGATTCTCGATCTCATCAGCGTGATGCACCTAACGCGAGTGCTCTTCACAGTGCTCCCCATTCACTGAAAATCAGGGGGATGTAAAAGCCGCGCGGGAACAGAATTCAGCACGTGAACTCACTTTTCCCATCAATCACCTGGAATTCGGCTGCCTTCTCCTCACCCGCGCCCCCGGAACCCGCTACCACCTTCGGAGTCGTCACCGAGCACCACAAACAATTGCTTTTGCTAAAGAGCCCATTGCAAAGCTCCCCTTCCCGAGGGGAAGGGCCGTGCTCCCGTGGCTGTTACGAAAATCCCTGCCATTCGTATTCCGCACCAGTGACTGATCCTTTCCTCTGGAAATTGCTGCAAAGCTGGAAGAGCCATTTTGACAGGACACCCATTTCTATTCACAAAGATAAATCCTTTATTTAATAATAATTATCTATACACAGACAAACAACGGGAGCCAGGGTCTGATGTCTTCCAGCAGAATGTTTATGCGGTGTGATCTTAAACCAGCTTTTTTTTGTTGTTCTCGAACATCAATCATCTTACCATACAATGTAAATTTTACATTTCCATTCTGAAAAGAAGCCTCGATCATCATTTAAAAGCTCAGTGTTAAGAGATGCAGGGAGCTCCTAATCCATATAACAGAACTGCTGGGAGTAAACGGAGGGATCGTCTGCAAGAAGCAAACCATGAATTTCCATTTGTGAAGAGCAAAACAACCTTGCACCAACCTCTAATTCAGTTTGCTGACCTGGAGGTTCGATTAGCCAAAATTTTGTGTGTTGTGTCTTCCT